TAACTAAAAGTCGTTGATTATTAATAATGCACAGAGTAACTATAGTTTGCAGTAAAGCGTACGTGCACATACTTAAAATCAGATCTCGTCGAAGCACTACAAAAGCGTAGACACGTAGCCAGTGATTTACTGACCCATGGCAGGACTTGGTGCAAATACTGTGGCTAAGTTGCCACCTCTCCCCTGGCCCATTCGAAGCAGGTATATACTCGAGACAGGACGAACGATCAAATTTATGATCATAAGGGCTGCGCTAAACTTATCAGACGCATCTACAAGTTAGTGAAATCAGACTGCAGACAGATTACATCTTTTGTATAGAATAGATCAATAAACAATTTTAACCTAACCTATCCTATTTGCTTTTTTCTTTAATGAACAATGTGAAAGACATATAGTAATATACGTATAATATATTCGATATATATACTCACGGTTGTATTCTGATGGATAGTAGACTGCTAACGTAATCACATCGAGAAATATAGAGAGTACATTTATGAAAAATGCCTGTAAAACAATATATAATCACGACCAATTCTAAATAAAAAAAATAAGTCCTCTCCTCTTGCTCCCTTAATAACTTACAAATTGCAGTGGTTCGTCTGATTCGACGCTATGAACAGCCCAAAATATACAAACAAAGAATAGCAAATTATAGAACAATACAGATTTTGGACACCAATTTCCCTGCATACCCCTGTAACGTATATTTTATATGTGACATAGATTATAATAAAAGTACAGGTTCTTACAAATACATAAAATTTCTCCACTTCGGAAGAATGCAATGCTGTCCTTACCATGTTACCAGCATCAAGTGAATTGCAAATATGATCTGAAAGAAATATAATGATAAACGATATCCTTTCGCCTTTGTTCAATTATCATGCAACATTAATATAAGTATTTATAAATTTAACTGTCAATCACAAAACGGAAATAAATTATGACTTCATATACATATGCAAATGTCAATTTGTTTTCGCAGTAAAGTGTTACGTATTTGCAGAAAGTACGATACAATGACAATATCACGCCGTATCGATGAAAACACTGAAAACGCACACACTGAAACAGAAAAGAATGTAGCTGGCACTACGTTTACATACCTTTAAAGGAAAATGGGATAAATTGGTTAGATTAGGCATCTTCGTCGCGCGACAGTAACCTCTGTGCTTAATAATGACAAAAAGTATGGCAGATTAGTTGGAATTGCGATTAAAAAATATCTCTCTGGCTGACAAAGAAATATCTAATCTGCTTTTTCCGCCTACAACTTGGATTTGACAACAACATGAAGCGCACGTATTGCGACTACTGCAACTACTCGAGCTACTACTGCGTATATTGTCATATATCAGCTGTTGAGCTGTGCAGCAGTGTCTTTCGCAGCTGCTGCCATCTAACGCAATCGCTCCGCCTAAAAAAGAAAATTCGTAAATGTTTCTAAAATTCATAAAATTAAATATCTAAAACTCTCATAATCATCCAATCAATATTGTCATTTTGTGTCAGGTAAGTATCAAAAGACTGCATTAGCTGTATATATCTTAGTCAAAATATCTTGATGAGAGAAGAGAAAGAGAGAAAAACAGAGAAAGAGGGAGAACACACACGCCGAGATTTTTTCTTCCTTTTATTAAACAATGCGCAGGTAGATGAGAGAAAAAGATAAGACTTGATTCTTCTCTTTTCCCATCTCTCTTATTAAAAATAAATCAGATTAAGAGAAAGCGTATTTAAGAGAGAGCTCTTTCTTATTTAATTCATTATTAATTGTTACTATTGTTAAGTCCATCTTTTAATATCTACGATTTGTGAAATATATAAAAAATATATAACATATAAAAATAATGCAGCTAAAGTTTTTAGAGCGTTCTTGAACCAAAAATTATAAACTTGTCCTAATTAAAAAGAATTATAAAAAGAAATATATATTTATACATAAAACAATAAAATAATAACAAAAAAAATTTTAATTAATAAAGAGATGACAAAAGATAAAAGGAGTCACAGAATTAATTTTTACAAAAACGGTGATTTCTGCAAAGTAAAATATACAAGTGCGAGAACAATCTCCAAGATTTCTGACTATATAAGAATAAAATAAATTGTTAACAAGGCTTGGAAGTGATCCGTTTAATCCAAATTGTATCCGCCCGTACTTGCATACGTAAAATAGTAAAATGAAAAATTCTTGTACGAATCAGGCGTGTACATACATACATAAGCAGATCTGAGATCACTGTATTAAAATCGCGATATCTGTGCGTAGCATCACAATTTTATAACGTCGGTGTCTATGAACAATTTTTTAAACGCGCCGAGAATTCGCTTTTCGGAGTTCAGACAATCAGGAATAATATGGCGGCAAAATCGCGTTTTGGACCCAAAAATCACGGC